TGACACGCCCACGCTAAGCAGGAAAAGAGCATTATTGATTCTATAGTCGTCGGTATGATAAGATCGTACTTAAATAAATAAATGAAATCTTTCAAAAGTCCGAAAACCAGTGATGCTGTTCAAATATAGTGATCACAAAAAGCTCGCTACCAAATAAATAGTATCTGAAGTTCAATCTTTTAGGCTTATAGTGTGAGCACAAATAGAGAATGTTAAACTCTGATTGTAAAGACTTATAAGGATCTAATCAGCATTCATGGGGAAGAGCCGGAAGATCAACAAAAAATTTCCCTTCAGACGAGGAATATTTGAGCATAAAAAAAAGCAAATCTCATGATGTTACACTCGGTGACAGTATGAGCACAAAAGAGCTTAGAAAAGCAAAGCTGTTGGTTTTAGAAAATGTTAACGTTGTTTTAAATGTCAATTATTATGCTAGTTCTCAATGTAACAAGATATATGGTTGGAAATTTTCCAACATTGAATATTTATGTCCCAATTGACTTGAATGCGGTGAGAACAATGGTTTGTTACAATAATATATTTATTTTTCTTTCGTTTTTTATATCTGCCACAGTACGAATATTGTGAATTCAATGTAAAGTAATCTCCTTCATATGGTGATTATAAAAAGTGTAGCATGAAAATAAATGAACCAGATGAATGCCAATGAATAAAATGAATGTATATCACGTGTTTAAGAGAAAAAAAAATAGTATATCATAGTCTGCTTTTTTGTACAATACTGATTTGTGCTAGTTTCTGATGAAACTGATTAATGGATCCATAGTGTCTGCTTTTCTTTCAAAGAAGTTTTCTCGATCGGTTACATCTGGAAATTCTAATTTTTCAACTTCAACAATACACGTGAAAAATAAGTTGTCAGCCATCTGGCTGAAGTATTAAATTCAATTATCGACTGTCATGGACTTTATGTGGACAGTAAACTTCACTTGATCACCTGTCGAATAAGATAATGGAAGATGATGTCAATGAATGCGTTGAATCTGACGATTCTGAATAAAATCCGAATTTCAATGATAGAGGCGACGATTAAGCTATCGCTCTTCTTCAAAACATTCAGAACAACATTAACATTTTCTAAAATCAATAGTTCTGCTTTTCTAAGCTCTTTTGTGCTCATTCTGGCATATTATGTACTACATGAGCACAATGATACATGAGAAAATCTCAGCTCGTTTCGTTTGGTTTAAGCTTAGACAGGGATTTTTTTTCGATAAGATAGCTTTCATGAATGTATTAGTAAAAACGTTCGATCTTCTCCGAAACAAGCTATGGATACGAATTCTATTAGTGGCAAACATAATTCATTAAGGTCTACTAGTCAAAATATTAGGCAAAAAGATTGAAATTTATGTATTTTTTACCCGGTAGTGAGAATTCTTGCTACTCCTACATGTTTTGACGTGAAATTTTGCAACAATAAGCGTTTTCCAGTGGAATAATAAAACAACTGTATTTGTAATATTGATAAATGATTTCTCAAATTCTAACATACTTTGAACAAGAGAGTAAGTAAACTTATATAGAAAAAAAATATCCACGAAACAAAATGTGCAAGTTTCTTTTATTTGTAGACAGTTGTATGTTAAATACAAACCTAAAGGTTCTTGTACTGAAATTCGAACACGAAGAAATTCAAGCCAATAGACTAAATTTTGTTCTAATTGTTGTATATCATCAAGAATATTAAATAATAAAACATGAATACAATTAAAATCTCCAATAAAATGATCATATATTGAATGATAAACCTCCACGCCAGCCTATGAACAAAATATTTTCGAACTACTAATTTAATTTACTTCTTAAAGTCTTCCTCGACATAAAATGAATTTTCGATATAATACGTGTAAGATTTCCATAAAATGAAAGTACACTATTAAAAAAATTTTTTGCGGCTCCGACTCTGATCGCTTAGGACTTTTCTAAAAGCTATAGTACAAAATAAGACTCTCACGCGTACAAATGTATTTTTTTCTATACACTTCAAGTTAGTGTTCGGGCCACTAGAATTCTTTACTGTTTCAGATAAAGAAAATCATTTTTTAGTTTTTCTTAGGCGGTGGTCTCTAAAAACCTCATCATTTCTTGGATATTAAGGATTGAATACAAAATTCTTGGTCATCATGCCAAAGAGAATACATCTACCTATCAAATAAAAAAAAATCGTAATTCAGTAAAGCAAACACTATTGAAAAGAAATTTGTTCGAAATTTGACAACTTATGCAAAAATCAATATTGAGAAATACGTGGAAATATATCTTTTTTTGGCATATTTATCTAAAGAAATTTCTAACACAGGCATCAAATATGGTTATATTACGTACCAATAAAAAATTCATCTAGAGTTTTATCTTGTGGCTTGAACTTTTCTCCGGTAAACTCTAGAATCTCATCATGATTTGTGAATGAATATTTTTAAATTTGGAAGTCATTCTTATTAACATTCAAATTAGACATCTTAGTTGTCATGCCTATATCTTTATTTCAAAAATTTTCTCTTTCTAGAAAAATCGATTCTTTTTGAGGAGGGAGCCATTATGAATAAAAATACTTACGAAATCCCAAGCACTATATTGCCCACCGCCTGAATAAATAAAACCAAGTTTATATAGTAAATCATTATATTGATTTTATTTTACCTGTACATGTTATTTGTTGAACACCAACACCGTTCGAACTATTTAAATTAAAAGTTTCTGAATCATCAATAACTACTGATTTTCGATTTGCTAAATTAAACGAAATATAAAACTCTTCTATCATCTTTTTGTGTTGAAAACATCATTTTCTTACGATTATATTTTTTTGTACTATTAAGACGATTACGTCGAAAAAAGCTGTTCAAAAACGAACATTTTAAAGTATCAACAAGAGTGGTTTTTCCTATCAAAAAATAAAATAAAATTTCAAAATGAAAAAATCAATAAAAATATTCATTCTATCCAATTACCGGAGTCACAGCTTCCAAATATTTTTAATTTTATTCTTTTTAATGGTTGTTTCGTTGGTACAAATTGTTCCATAAATACTGCACGATTATCCTATTCAAGCAAAAAAACAAAATGATTAAGACAATTTGATTAAAAAAAAAGGTATTTAGTTTATTTCTTTACCATGCTTAATGATTTAAGTAATTGAACTATTTCTGTATTGCCATTTATTTCAGCTAACTGACAAGCAGTTCGACCATCCTATAGGCAACAAAAATGAAATTTCGATTATCAAAACAAAACAAAATAAATCAAAGCTAACCTTATCTTGAATACTCAAATTTAAACCAGCTAAACAAAGAAATCGAGCTATTTCTATATGACCATGACGAGCAGCTAGATGTAATGGAGTTGCATCAGCTTTATTTTTCATATCCATTCGACAACCAAATGAAGTTAATGCTTCAACAATAGGTAAAAGACCTTCTCGACTAGCATAATGTAATGAAGTTTCATTATTCTAAAATATTCATTTATGTTGTTTTAATTGTTTTTTCTCAATAAAAATTTTTATTTAATTATCATACATTATCCGTTATATTTATATTACAACCAGCATGAATTAATGTTAAAGCAATTGGTATTTGTTGTCGTTTACAAGCAAAATGTAATGCTGATAAACCTCTCTAAAAAAAACATGAATATTAAAAATATTAATAACAAAAAAAAATAACGATTATACTTTATCTTGAAGATCTAAATGTGCTTTATTATTAGTTAATATTTGAACAATTTCAGCATTGCCACGTTGTGCTGCACAAATCAAACCTGTTTCTCCTTCCTTATAGGAAATAAAAACAAAGATATAATTATCAATTATTTCTTTTTTTTTAGAATTTATTTTCACTTTATTTCGAATATTAAGATCAGCACCAGCACTACATAAAATACGGCAAATTCGAGAATAATCGTGCCAAGCAGCAACAATCAATGGTGTATCTTCTTCCTAAGAATATTTATATTAATAGAACAAAAAACATAACGTTCTATGATCAAGAATAAAAACATACATCATCTTGACAATCAACATTACCACCTAATTTACATAAATGTTCAACAACATGAGCATGACCATACCGAGCAGCAACATGTAAACTAGTTTCACCATTCTTATTAAGCAAAAACATTTAAAATATAAATAAAAAATAATCGAATAGTCTTACTCGGTTTGATACATTAATTGGAACGCCTTTTTCATGAAGAAATGTTATTATTGGCACATGTCCTTGTCTTGCTGCCCAATAGATAGCATTATTTCCAGACTAAACAATCGATATTCTTTTTAAATGTCTCATCAATCAATATGATATAACTAACCCCATCAACAACCATTAAATTAGCTTTTCGATCAGCCAATAACTTAACGATATCTAAATGGCCAGCACCACAAGCAAAATGTAATGCCGTTTCCCCATGCTATTCAGAACATCAAATAATAAATTCTATTAATAAATAATTCAATTCACACTACCTTATTATCTTTATTAACATCAATAGTAGCAAGATTACATAATTTTTTAATATTAGCTAAATCACCATCTTCGGCAGCACATAGGAGAGCGGTTAAAACAAAATCATCATTATCCTAATTGAAAAAACAAAATTGAAATTTTTATTTTTTATTTTATTTTGATTCTTTTACCTCAGCATAAGATCGACCAGATATATTTGAATCTAAATTATCTAAACTAATAGCAGATGAGATGGACGATAGACGCAATTGTGACTTAAATAGAAAAAAATAAGTTAATTCATTGAAATTATATTCAAATAAATTCATACTTGTTTAAAAATTTTGTTACACAGGCTGATCGCTTTCACACACCTCTATAGAAAAAAAAACAAAATTATGAGAAATGATTTCGAAGAAAAAAAACTATGTATAATAAAAAAAAATAACTAAATATAATCATGCTATTTCCAAAAAAAAACGAAACAACATGCTAGGTAGGTCTTGAATAACATTCACAGGCATATACGAGCTAAATACCCTTCTGTTTAGAAGAGGTTGTTGTTTTGACGATTTTTTTCATTTTCCGTGTTTTTGTTGTAACTTTTTTTAATGTTCCTTCTTCAGTTTCTTCATATTGAATATTATCCGATTTTGATATTTTTAAATTTTCATCTGTATGAACTTTATTTTGTACTGTCGTACGAACATTTTGTCCAGTTATTTCATCAATTGATTCTGTAACTTTAGTATCACTTGTTTGTGAACGTGAATGTTGATCAGATACAACTTGTTCATTAGGCAAAGGATTTTTTATTAATGATACACTTGCATCTGTTCGAGGATGACGACGACGATATTTTTCATCATCATCATCATCATCATTATCATCATCATCTTCACCCTCTTCATTTTCTTGAAATGACTCAGCAAATTCACTGGATTTTATTTGTCTCATTTCAATATTTGTTGGACAACAATGTATACGTTTACTCGGATTCATTATTTCTTGTTTTTGAATTTGTTCAATATCATTATCAGATTCATCAGTTTCAGAATATTGTCCTTCATAGATAGCTGTTTTACCCTTACGTTCACTATGTTTAGCTGACTTAACATTTCCATCCTTATCAAATTTTTTTGTTGTGACTGTACGAAGCGTACGTGATTCACAATGCATCTGTACCTTCCAACGACGACGAGCTATAAACGATTTGAATGATGGCATATTGATTTGAGCATTACGACGTTCTTCTTCATCTTTACGACGACGTGGCTAAACACAAAGTATATACAATTTATGTCAGATTGTATTTGATAACAAAACAACATACTTTGATCCATGGATGATTGAGACAATCAACAACTGTTGCTCGTTGACTACAAAAATGAAGAAGATAGTTGTTCGCGATAAAAAAAAGCAGCAACAATAAAATCAGATAGGCATGTGCAGAAGAATTGATGAGGGATTTTCTATGTTGGTACACTTTTCCTTACCGAGGATTTTTCACAAAAAGTTGTTGAATAAAATCTTTAGCCAAATCACTTGTATTTGCAAAAAATTCTTCATCAAAACGATAATCAACTTGAGTAATATTATTAAAAGTTTCCTGATTTGTATTACCCAGAAATGGTGAAGCACCACTTAATCTTAACAAAATACATATTTACTTAATTAAATATTTATGCTTCTAACTTACAAAATATATGTTATTACACCAATACTCCACATGTCAGTTGCTAATGTGACTGGTTCAAATGCGATTACTTCTGGAGCTAAATATGTTGAAATCGAAAAAAGGTTTCTAATTTATAAAAGCAAAAAAAACTTACCAACAAATTCTGGTGTTCCAAATGTTTCTTTGGTTGGCTCATTCGGTTGAAGTTTTCTCGAAATACCAAAATCAATAATTTTTATTTGTGTCTTATTCTTTTCGAGTAGCATAACATTTTCTGGCTATAAATAAATGAATCAAATGAAAATTAATTACATCATCATTTTTTCTATGAAAAATTTTCCTACGAAATTTTCATTGACAAACTATACCTTTAAATCAAGATGAACAATATTTTTTTCATGCATATGATGTACACCTTCAAGAATTTGTAAAATAAATTTTGCAGCTTCTTCTTCATTCAATGCATCTTTTTCAGCAATATAATGAAAAAGCTCACCACCACCAACTCTAATAAAATCATAGGTTTTTTCTTTAAAAAAGAAAATATATTTAAAATGGTCTATTACATACAATTCAAGCACTAAAATAATTTCATGTTTATTTTCAAATACATCATGTAGTGTGATTATATTTAGATGTGGTGCTAATTCACTGAGAATATCAGCTTCACGTAAAATTTCTTCTCGTTTAAGACCTCGTTTTCCAGCAACACATTTTTTCTTTCGTACAAATTTAGCTGCGAATTCACGTCCTGTATTTAATTCACGTACACGTTTGACGACAGCAAATTGACCGCTAAAGAAAAATAAATAAATCAAATATAAATTATTCAGAATATCTTTTGTTTTTTTTCTAAGACATATATATCAAGTACTTTGTACTTTCGGTGTTCGACCATCTTTATTGTTCTCCATCTCAGACGGAGAGTAATGAATATGAATTATTGTAGCACCTCAGGGTAATCATCTCAACAATAGCATAGCATCGACGGATGTCTCACCTAATTATTATTCGTTTTGCTTTATATATATGTATATAGATATATATATAGCTATATAGCTACATATATATATGTATATCTATATATATAGCTATATAGCTATAGATAGGATTTATGGCTTTACATTCGTTAGAAACCTAATACAAAACAGTCGTTATGGCTGTTAGAAAAACGATGCAGAATCATAAACACCATCATTGCAAGAGGGTACCTAGCATTATCGTTTTCTTTTATCCGTTTTGTTTTATTTGTGCTGATGATAAGATAAAGATGTATATACACTTATGTATACCAACAAAACGAATCAATATATAACGAAGCCTCGTGCAAACAGTGACATGAACATGTAAGTATTTGTAGATCATAAATAAATGAAGTTCGTTTATGTGCAAATCGGCAATTAGTGTGCATATTTCATCCTGTCTCGAGATTCTATCTTTCTTTTATGTCTTTCATACAACAGATGGTCTTTGTTTGATAATGAAGAAAACACAAGCCTATTATCTTATAGTCGATACATAGACGCAAATGTATATATGTATGTATCTCTGTTAATTGTTTGCAATATGATTGTTTGTTCTATTTTTTTGTTTCTCTATTACATAATCTAACAAAGAAAAGAAATGGTATTTATGTCAAGTACTCTTACTAGACTCATTTTGTGTTATAGATGTGCAAATAAATAGTAGACTAACGAAAAAAAAAGAAGAAATGATTAACTAACCTTCCAAGATCATCTTGAATATCATAAAAATTTTCAAAATCTTCTGTAATTATATTAAGAACCATATTAATAAATTATTTCTATATATTAACATTATCTTTATTTTGCCTCATGATCTGAAAAGTATGGAAAATAGGTAGAGAGCTAAATGAAATATATGTATTTAAAGGAGAAATGAATCTGTATACAAGTCGAAAACAACCGTATCGCATATACAGATTACTAATAGAAATCACTACAATGATAATCTTCGTGACAACTAGGAGAAACACAACCAACTGATTGAAAAGAATTGATATGAGATGTGGAGAAGGAGGAAAACGACGAATGGAGACTTCTTTCTTTTTTCTCTCTTTTCTTCCTATCATTAGTAAGACTCGTCTGTTGTTTTTTCGTTTCTCTTTCTCTCGAACAGTGTACTGTACAATTTTTTTTCTCGACTAACATACGCCTGTAGTTATATGGCAAAAGATAGCACCTAATTCTTCTACTATGTATTTATGTATCCTCTTCTTTTATTCGTAACGTGATAGATCAACAACAAATATGGTCATGAGTAACACTGCAAAATAAAGATTTGAATAGATGAAATAAAAAAAAACATTTTGATGTTGAACAAATTCTACTGTGGTCGATTTGTCGATGATCGTTGAATATGATCTATTAAATAGAAAGAAAAATAAGACTTGATGACAACAAAAATTGATGAGTAATTATATGGCTTACTACAATTTTATCTACCAATCATCACCTATGCCTTGTTTACCTTGTTGACCTTCTTTTACTTCTATTCTAGAAGAAAAAAAGAGGAATACATGAGAAACAAAAAAGAAAAAAAGAGACAAACTTAAATAAACATATGCTAATTTGGTCATGAATATAAGTTTGATTCACGATTATGGAAATGAACTAATTTTTCATTTTGCTTCTATAATTCGATAACCTTTTTTAACAAGTTGAAGTGAAAGTATTTATCTTTCTAATGGATATGCATGATGCATTATGACGTTTGATTGGATTCTTCAAATGAAACCTAACGAAAAAAAAATTTTTATTGAACACATTATTATTCAAAGTAATGAGAAAACAAATACCACATGCTCAGCTAATATTACCATTGATGTAGAATGATAAATAGCTGTATAAGTGAATATGTACGTAATGATTCTTCTTTGATTTTATTCGTGCTTCTATTGCTTATGATATCCGATTTCATAACTAAATATGCATCAAGACATACAATCAATATTTAAATAAAAGCTGTCAGAGAAATCAAAATGAAAAAAAAAATTATGAAGGTTTTAATAACACTTCATTCGATTTTTGAGTCATTATTTTCTATGGAACAACATAGATTTTGATCATAATATGTTTCGACAAATACAGAAAAGGCATTAATTGCCATGTCAATCACGATTTGTATCTTTCAATGAGTAAATTTTCCGAAATCTTAATATTAATATTACTGAGTGACACAGGAAGTTCGATTTTTTATCGATAGGAAAGAAAGATAATCAAAGTAGGACATTTCTTCTTATAAAGGACATTATTCCCACGAGAATTCCAAAAAGAAACTTGGAAATAGTATTTTTTATATCTCTTGAATAATACTCTATATTGATACGCCATATTCTTACAAAATTACATTCGTAAAATAACATTTTTGATATGCATAACATTTCTCAATGGGATAGTTTATAAAGCATCAGACCAAAAAAAATATAGATGATGTTAATCTATTATAAAAAATTTTTCTCGTGAGATGTGATTTTAGTTGATCGATTCTTTTCTTAATTAAAAAAAGTTAACACATGCACATTCTTGTGGTCATAAACAAGTTACTTTCTGCTTCACACATATGTTGTATAAAAATGTTTATCAATTGTATGTTTTTGTACATTTTTCATTTGTTTTTTAATGCTATACTTTTAAACAATCAGCTAGAGAAAAAAATAGCTCATTTAACTTTTATGTATTCAACATAATTTTGAATACGACGATGAGCATTGTGTGGAAATTTGTTTTTAATTCTTTATGCATTTTAAGAATTAGTGTTAATATATCAACATAAATACAATAGATCAGGCTGTTTCTATATGAAAGCAAGAAAGTCAAAAGGTCATGTGAAATTTTAGCAAAACTAACTGTGAATAGTATAAAGAGGAAAGTATTTTTTTTATTGAAAATAACTGATTTGATTGAATCAATGACGGAAATGCCTACAGTAAAAATAATATCCGGACTAACTTAATCAGCTTTTCTTCTTTTGAAACATATGTCCTTGATCTAAAGATTTAATTATACTTAATTTGTAGTCATTTCATTTATTGTCAGGTGTGTATATATTTCTTTAGGATTCCTGCGGCGTATGTTTAAAAAACTGAATTATATCGATAAAAGAAATTACAAAACTAAAGAACGAAAATATTTTATTTACAAGACATTTAATTATGGTAGCTAGATGAAGCTTTCTTTAGAGTTTATACAAACCGAATATAAATAAAATTGTTTGTCATGAATACTCAACGGTATATATATCAGTAGGATGTGATGGTAATTTATCATTACTTCTAAATCTGTTATTCTCATAAACAAAATGAATGCTTCCTGAGGGATAAAGTTTAGCAATGGAGAGTCTACAGCGGTACTTCGGGAAAAACTGACGTAAATGAGGAATACTTGAAGTATACAAAGATAACAATGAACTAGTCAGTGAAAAACCTTGTTGTCTTCAAATCTTGGTAAGAGGGATGTCATCACTTTCATAACTTGGGTATCGAGGTTCAAAACATAGCTATTTCAATATTTACTTTATTTAGAGGCTGCTAAACTAAACATATCAAGTGAATTTAATGTGACAAATTGGGTATTTGGTTTGCTGGATATCATGACTTGCAGCTCGTCCTTATCCAGCGTATGGGTATATGATATCTGTGTTATTTTGATATAATCTTGATTTCTGTGACCATTTTTCTTTTACTATCATTTACCTGTCAATTTTCTGCTTCTTCATATGTACTTTTATTAATATGACAACCATACTGATATTTAATTAATAACATCAATTATTCAGCAATATCGTCTCCAGCACTGAAAAACGAAGAACAAAAATAGTATACTATAAATAGACAAATGAGATCAAAGTTGAAATCGTTTTCTCAAAGTTTCCTTTCATATTATATAATCTGCTTGTTAGATTTACAAATTTCTATAACATTAGTTCGGGTAATTATTTAGAACATTAACAAGCTAGTATCTCATATATCCGCTGTACATTTCATTTTTGTTATGTAGATTTTAACTTTAATTAGTAATTCTTGTCTTTTTTTTAACTCTGAACGATATATTTGATATTTTGTATATAACCAATACTAGCTATATGCGATTTCATCATGACAAAGAAAATCCACAATCTGTATTTAAATAAAAATGAGAACAAAACATACGATTTTCCTAATCCTTTGCGAATGCTTTTATCATATGAATTCAAACTTGTTCACCATCATTACACTCTGTAATTGATGAAGATTCAAGAAATTTACTAATTATTGTTATATAAAAATAATTAAACTATAACGAAAAGCCTCTCATTCATCCAGTTTTATAGTAAGATTTAAGGCTTACCATTTTTTTCATATTGAATAATGAATGAGTGAAACATATTTCTTCGAAAAAGAATAAAGATAAACAAAATTCATGTGTATTTGTTATTTCGCTTACTTTCTAGATTATTGATTGACGGTAAAAAAGGTGCAAAGCCATCCAATATGTGTAAAAGCTGTCGTTCTTTCTTTCTATTTGAAAATAATTATACAATTTCCAATAGATACCGCTAGATATCGGTTTAAGTTTCGACCGACATGTATGCGCAATACGACTGTCAGTAATTTTTTTTTCTATCTGATCTAGTTTAGAGTAAAAGAGTGGTCTACAGATCAAATCATGCCGTTTAATGTTTCTTATTTTCCAAATCCGCTAAACGCTGAAACTTCTACCATAAAATCGCAAAAATCAATAAACTATTTTCTGAAACCTCATAGCATTTATCTTTATGAAATTTCAGTCATCCCACATATCTAGGTAAGATGAAAAGAATTATTTATTCACTGTTCTTAAATATCATTCAAACATAAGAAATAGAGTGTTATAGATAGCATTAAAGAACAACTGGCGCATTAAAGTTCCTTTTGTTATCAGTATATAAATCAAGTTTTATATTACAAAAAAAAAACGTTGTTGTGAAATGTCTCGTCGTTACATGTCATATCTTGCCTTTGTCTAGTACATTCTTTAAAACACGGTCATGTGCAGATATTCTAACATATATATCTCAATTCCATCAGCCTAAGGTCAAGTGTATCGATTCTCGGCGCATGCTACTAGTTAATTGGCTGATGTTTTTATAATGCAAACACGTATAGTACATCGAGCACTACATATATATATATATCTGTAGATGAAATTGCTTCTCAACCATCCTATGCTTGGATATAATATCAATCTCGATACTTTTGGTGTGCTCTAAGTATTTTTCTTGCACTAATGATTATAACAAAACCACTTGTTCATGAAAATTAATGTCAACATTGGTCGATACTTATTACTGATCAACCACAAACTTTATTGAATATTTATTTTTTCTTTAATTTATACGTGGAAATGTAAGTTTATTTTTTCTCTTTCATTTCTTATGTTTCATACAGATTTTCTTCATGACTTTCTAACAGATATATATTAATAAGTATTATAAAATAGTCAATTATGAAAAAAAAACAAAAACTCTTTTGGAATAAAACACTTGCAAATTTATATTATTATGAAATTATTTATTTATATGCATTTTAGTATATGAGAATGATTTGTAGTTTATTAGGTATTTTATTATCTTTTTTTTTGTGTTTTCTTTACTTTAAAACTGTTTATCTAGCTGATGAGAAACAACTAATAGAAAAAAACTATTCACTATTAATCCAAACCAAAAAATGTTTGTCACATTTGTGACAGAACATACGAATAAATTAGCAGAAGTTAAAGTGATATTGGTTAATACGTAACCAAATTTAAG